CAAAAAGAGGGCCCTTGGGTGCAATTGGGGCTTCTAATGATTAATGGGAGCCTGGCAGTTGTCATTAGGGATGACATAGGACTAGCTTTGAAGAAACAACTTCATTTTGTAGTGGTTCCCTCTACGTGGGCAGAAGCGTCCCCAGTCGGAAAGGGAGTATGGTCAAACTCCCTGCGGCTAGTACCCTTATGTCTAGGAGGTGTATCTCATATCTCATTTGTACTACAGTCGAAAAAAACCTCTCAAGGGGTTATTTAGGGCAGTACTATAGGGGTTGTTAAGGGGGATACTAGAACTTTAGGCTATAGCTCGTATGGCTTCACATGATAAATTAAAACAAGCCATGGTAGGCTTGGACATTGCCTACTGGAAGCAGCAGGACCTTGAATGGGACGGGCACAGTAGGCCTCGGTATTCATTCCCAAAGGGTCCATGTACCCAATAGGTACTTGGGTATTGGGTACTAGTAATTATAGTATTGGTTTTGGGTAAGTATATGATTATTAGGTACTTGGACCCTTAGGGATGTATAACCACCTGTGCATCAGAGGTTCTTGCAGCTTCGCAATATATACTGGAATGACCCTTTCCCTCCAGGCGGTCCCAAATATACCCCGAACTGCAACACATTCCCGTCATGAAGACTGAACAGCGAGGACCTTCCAACGACTCTGGATAGTGGCCTAAATACGCGCAACAAACTACCCCATAATCCCAGTTTCCATTTCATGTTCCATCTCATTCTCCATTTGATTCTCCATTATTGGGAGTTTCCATTTTCTTCTACATTATCAAAATTTAGGATCTTCTGGTGCCTTTTTTAGTCTGGGGAGGGACTCTTTGCCTTCAGAGCCCCCGAAGGTCTTCGTGCAGGAGGAAGAGATTGAGAAGCTCCGAAAGCAGGCTCACCGCAGTGTAGGATGAGGGTGTAGGATGAGGGCTTGCCTGGCGATTCAAGGCATACTTTATTTTGAGGTTAAAATACGATGTGAGGGTTTCACAGTAGTTTTTTTTGGATCACCTTTTTGGGAGTCCTCTTACTGAAAAATGCAATATATTGGGGTCCATACATGGTAATGGAAACTACCATGTGTAGAAACTTGAGTAGACTGAAAGGCCAAGGGGCGGAATTCGCTAGCGAGTCCAGTGTCACTGCTGCTTCCCAAGAAGCATTCAACGTACACCAGAGGCATACCCCTACAAGAAGTAAAGGGGTAATGTCAAGTTTCCCCTTGCATCCTCCTTTGAGGACCCTTTGAAGGTTCCCTAAGCCCTCAACCCTAAACCGTGAGGCTGAAGAATTCTTAAGGATCTGGGCTGTGAGCATCCGGGCAAGTCCCATGATGGAAAAGGGATCCTGCCACATTTACTAAGTGGAACCCCAATGCCCAATAAGTACTATCGGGGATGATATGAGCTATCGTCTAAAGTTTTGAAAGGGTTATATATGGGAATGTCAGATTGTCAAGGGGAGGGAGTATTATTTAAGGGGGATACTACGAGTTTAGCGACTATAACTCATATAGGGATCCTACACGGAAATACCTTGAAATAAGTCAATCTCCTCCTTGACGCTAAGCCTAAGGGTCCAAGTACCTAATATTCATATACTTACCCCAAACCTGTACTATAGTTACTATTACCCAAAACCCAAGTACCTAATTATTGGGTACTTGGACCCTTTGGGTAAGTCCCCATCCTGCCGTGGCAAAGGTGAGATCTCTAGAGGAGGAGCGCGACGGCCTCCGAAAGGACTGGGACTTTCCACTATGGGCTACTAAACCTTAAGGGTTTAGGGTTTAGGGTCTACCCTTAATAGGATCCTAATAGGGAATTGTAGGGTTTAATAGCCCATGGTGGTTGCTGAGACAGTCCAGGCCTTTTCCAGGATGCACAGCGAGGGTCACCATGGGAGTTCTAGCACAAGTAGTAATGATTACCAGTCATTGAAGTAGCAACCGCAAACCCTAATTAATTGAGCAAGGATTGAGGATCACAGCTGGAAAGCCTAAACCGCAAATCCTAAACCTTCTGGATCGAAGGGCTGTAACTGTCGCTGATGCCCACTGCGTCGAGCAGGATCTCAAGGAAGCCATGCGAGAAAGAGACGAGTGGCAGGCATTGCTTAGAGGGTCCAAGTGCGCAAAGAAAGGAGTCTCAGGTGTCAAATACAAGGCACTGAATGCTTTTGCCTGTTTCAGTGTAGATGCTTGAAGTAGGTTACAAACAGAAATCCATTCTGTACATTGCCCATTTCTCCTCGGTTTCTCAAGGTTCAGGCTACAGGGCACCATGATCTAGGGGCTAGATAGAATGCCACTACCATGGTCCCAGATTCCTTGTACGATCCTGTTTTATAGGGTACCCCAAATAGATCTCATTGGCAATGATATATTCAAGGGCTCCTTTGTAGTTCCATTTTGGATTTGCAATGGTTTTTGGGTATAAGGTTGTACTATACAATCCCAAGAAAGCTGCATAGGAGGTTCCTGGTACGCCCTGTATTAGCTCTTTCTTGGATGTTGGGGTCCAGGTCTCTGCTCTACGAGTCATGTCCAAGCGGGAGTTCCGATCTAGCGCCACATGCCCGGCCTGCCAGGGCTTGCTACAGTAGCACTGTGTTTAGAGTTTAGGGTTTTTGGTGAGTGTATATATATTGAATGCTCATTTGCGCAGACATGGAGAGAGCACAAATTAAACCAGGTCATATGCAAGTTGTTCAAAGGGGTGTTTAGGACTGGAGGGTGTGTAAGGATTGTCAGAGGATTTGACGGGTCCTCTTACTATCTCTGTGGGGAGTATTTCGAGAAACTCCTATGTGATCATGGTATTTCCTGGCTGCATGAGCGACACGCTACTAAGACAAGTCAATGCAGAACTCTTCTGACTACATTACATACATTACATAATCACAGATATATATATATATACACATGTTACCCTATACAATCCCTGAGCATACAACGATTGTCGATAGGGGTATATAGGGCTATATGAGATCATAAGGGTGGGTTCTATGCGAACTATATAGGGTAGTCGGAAGCCCAATTTTGGTACATTGAATGGCAAGGGTCAAAAGTAGCAAGCATCAGAATGGTTGGTTCACTTCGTCTTTTCCTTCAAAATCCAGCCAATAGGAGTTCCCAAAATTAGGGGTACTTTTTTGGGGGTCCCTATAATAAGGACTATGGTATTTTGGGGTTTATATATTGGAGTCCATGAGAAAGCCAGCAAACAAAAACATGAATCAACAAACAGGCAAGCGCCAAGCACCGAAAAAGAGGACTATGCATCGCTGCAACGTTCATGAAGCATAGACTTACCATCAGAGCACAAATCAACCAGACCGTAACAAGGCATTATAACTAAGTAAGGTATGTAAACCCTTTACCCTCAACGACGCTTATGTTCATAAGCCCTGCACCTTGAGCCCTAATTACCCCAGCCCACCCAATGCTAAACACCAAAATCCCGAAGCCACGCAAACCACAAACCGAGCACAATTTCAGCTTCCTTATTTTTTCTGTTTAATCCTGGAAAGTTGCAACTTCATTCTCAAACTGCAGTCGTTCATGTGCCCCAAAACCTTCTTCCACCATTTTTTGGCGACTTTTCGTGCTGCGCACTTGGGCCTTTCAGGTGGAGTCTCTAGAAGCTGCCAGACGAAGGCGCTTGCACCGTCTGCAGGATGACACGCTTGATAGCCATATTAGGGGTTATGTCGGGGTCAAGTCGCGCTGTATAGGGCTCGTATAGGGTTCTTTAGGCTGTAGGGTTGTGACCCAATAAATGGAGAATCAAATAGAACGGAAAGTGGAAGATGAAATTGAAACTGGAGTTATATGGTAGGTTATAGGGTCTAGGATTGCGTAAGTAGGGCAAAACCTAAGCTATGACCAGATAACAGATCACGGTCTCTTAGAGTTATTATTGTGAACAACACTTGTTCCGAGATATACTTACCAAGGAGATTGCAACTCCTGTATGATTCTGCATTGCCTTATACCTTGTATCTGTTTTACCTACGTTGGTCATGCAGGATGTGTAGAATCAAAAGTATTAGCCCAGGTATCCGGAAATCATACGACTGAGGATTTGAGATCTTGATCTAGGAAGGGCTTAGGATTTGCGTTTCAATTTTGGCGAGGGGCTGTCCAAATTAACTTTGTGTGTCCATGTTCAATGCGTCCTGCTGTGAGCTTTGTACGGAGACCCAAATGTTCAGCAACTCTCAACGTCAAGCCATCCTCCAGGGTACAGTTACATTTGCCAACTTGCGTAATTCTAGCTGAGGCAAGGACCCCAGAGGTGGTAGTAATTGGCATCATGCACTCTCAGTCAAGCCAGGCTTAGCACTTAGCAAGGTAGGATTTGCTGAGATCTGCATGAGAGACGCTGAGTTCCCGGAAATCCTTTCATACTTGAATGTCTTCCACACCTTGCGTTTATCACGCATCCATTTTCAGATGGCCAAAGCAAGGGCGCATGATTCCTATTGTGATTCCTCTCATGGAGCCTGTCAGGCCGCTGCCTCCATAAACAAGGAGGAAAGATGGCGACTGATTTTCATTTTCACAGCACAACAATCCGGAAACAAGGAGGGTATAGTGAGTGTAGCACAAGGGATCGACTCAGTTTGACTTGCTTGTTTTGTGCCAGTCTGCGTGCATGAGACGAAATTGGTAATTAGCGTTATGCTGATGCCGCTGGTGACTGCGGCTGTATACTCTATTGCGGCCAGCAGCGAGCAATTCGTTTGCCTGAGGTTGCATGCGGGCGGATGCCTATCGAACCCAGTGATAGTCAAATGAACTTATAAGCACAAAGCATTCACAGGCTATGGGCTTGGAAGAGGCAGCTCACTTGCAGTGGCAGAAGAGGTGCTGGAAGACCCAGCCTTCATTGCGCAAACGCTGAAACCTGCGACCTGAGCCTAAAGAATTCAAGTGGACCATTTCCCCGAAAAGTAGATTAGAATGATAGTCCCCCTTAAGTAAATAGAATATGGCTTTGGGTAGAATAAGATCCCCATATACCCCGCATTCTATCTACTGAAGGGGGACTCTATTCGCATGTTCTGGATTTTTTCGAGGTCTTTGGCAGGAGCTTCATGCAGACGCTGTCTTTGTACAGGCATCTGGACTCAGACGGCTGCCCAAAGTCGCAAAGTCACGGGATTCAGGGAGCTGTGGGTTTGGGATTTAGGGCTTAGGGTTTAGTGAGCTTTAGCTTAGGGTCGTGGCTTCGAGCAACCTCATGACTAGGTGCCGCAGTACAAAGGGTAGCCACCCCGAAGGTGCCGGAATTGTTCGAGAAGCATCCCCTGTAATGGAGAATCAAATGGAAAAGAAAATGGAAAATGAAATGGACGCTGGGGTTATATAGGGGTTATATAGGGATCCAAGTATATAATACCTAAGTTGGGCCCCAAAGTCTATAAATGTTACCTACATTGCGCTATTCGGATCCCTAGGGATCCATGTTCTGTCAACTTATGTTGCTGGACGCCGTCCGCCTCATGGGCATCCAGATGTCAAGAGCTTCATTCACATGGGCTGGGGTAAAACTGGGTGTTCGTCTGGACAAGCCGACCGACATGTACGATTCTCATCTTTAAAGATATAGGTGCTTGTTTCTGCTGCTCCATCATGCAGGTTGCCATGTTGAAATCAGCTTCATTCGGCGTCATATGCCCATGTCAAGCCATGATGTATAGCCAGTGAGCTTGAATTTCGTGGCGCGTCCAAGTTGGCGGCTAGAGCTTTGGGTCCCGCAAAAGGCGCCCGGCGCAGCCTTAAATTCACGCAGAGACAACAGTAACAAAGCAATCGTCCCAACCCTAAGGGTCCAAGGACCCGAATAATGGGGTTTTTAGGGCCCAAGTACAAGAAAAACAAATAACATAAGTGGTATTTGGGCCCTGAAGCCACATTGTTTAGGTCCTTGGTTTCTTAGGGCAACAAATCAGCATGAGGAATGTTGTCTTGGATGTGTTCAAGTTGCATTAAGCCTGCTCTCCGCGCATGGTGGCCCAAGTTTAGCGGCATAGTTGGAAGTGGTTTCTTTCCAATGTGAATTGTAGACGCTTGGCTTCATCGATGACTGCGGATGATTTCTGGAAGGGTTGATGTATTCGAACACTAGGGTTTTGCGTACAAAAAACTAGTACCGCTAGTAGTGGCGCAGAAGGTACTTGGACCCTCAGCGAGTATTCCAACAATCACCCCCAATGTGATACCCAATTCGATGCCATCTCAAAACGGTGGAAGTCCATAGCGACTGTCTGCGCTGCACGTGTTGAAGCGAAATGCAAATCTCACGCTATCAGGCCTGTCGCCACAACAATCTGGCCTTTGACACTGATTTCCCTTCTGACAAACAATTATTCCTGGTATCGGGCGCGCACGCTAAACAGCCACAGCAATCTTCATTGGTGTCTTAAGCGTATAAATGGTGGTAATCTTGGGAATTCCGATCATGAGAGGATTGTGTTTCCTCAGCGCCTTGATACGCCTGGCGGCGGTCGCAAAGTCTTGCTCCATATGATTTAAAGTCTACCCTCGACTCCAAGCCCCAAACCCCAGACCGGGATACACACGGGGGCTGTACAGAACTTGAGAGCAGTTATGGATGTAAATTCAGCACCCTACACCCTAAACCCCGAACCCAGAACCCAAGATCCTAAACCCTGGATCCTAAACCTTCAAAAGTCCGGTAAGTTCCTCGTGCCACGTTGAAGGGCAGAGGTAGAAGGTTTGTAGCTTGGAGGCTGCAAACCCGAAGCCTGGCAGATGTTCAAGTGTAGTGGGGAGCAGTTGGGAATTTAGGGTTTAGGGCTTTAGGGTTTAGGGCTTACAGGGTACCAAGCTACCCTTCGAACAACCGCGATTTATTGCCTTCTAACTGGAGGAAGAGTAATCCAGGGGTTCCCCTGCCAAGGATAACTATAATGGATTGGGTCATACAGTGATAACGGAACAGAACATGGAAGCTACTATGTCCAGGGGTTCCCCTGCCAAGGATAACGAACTACCCTTTTCGTGGTGCTTATCTCCTCCCAGCGAGGGAGCTGAAACTGGGCTGATTTTGGGTTTTGGGGTTCAGGGTGGGTTTAGGGTTTAGGGTTTAGGGTGGGTCACTAAGCTCTATAATGGAAAATCTAGCAGAAAATGAGAAAGAGACCTTCGGTTTCTGTACAGATGGTATGCAGGGTTTCAGGGTTTAGGATTGGATGGGTAATTGGCAGTCTATTTGGTGTTTGAAGTCATACCCTGGGTCATCATCAGGATTGTAGGGGCCGATGGCTACAGCCTACAGCCCTAGAAGAACGGCTTTTCAAGAAGTCAGCCAGTTATTGCCGCAGTGTGTTCACCTAGGTGCTGAAGAAGAAAGCCGCAGGTGAGTAGCATTTTGAACTAGAATAAGACAATCCCTGGCATAGACAAAGCTCATATTCTCGTTTTGCTCAACAGAAGTCATAATGGTCTCCCTCAAGTGGATAGAATATGGGGTATATGGGGATCTTATTGTAAAATACCCAAAGCCATATTCTATCTACTTAAGGGGGATTCTACAAGAACATCATCGGGGTTGAGGCAAAGCTGGGCTCGGGATCAGCCGGGATGGGGAAGTCTAAGTCAATACCGACCTCTGTGTGTTGGAATGCTCACCAATCACAAGTCATGTCCTCCTACGGCGGATATGACCACTTAAAAGGCCGTGCATGACCTTGGTATACAAAAGTGCACAATAAATCCAGAATTCCAAAGGTATTAGATGCCTAAGGTCACGCAGGATACTTGATCTCAAAGGCAAACGGTAAACACGCCGTTGTCAGTGCATGGTGCCTTGGATTTCGGTTTCATGTGTGAGTTTGAGGGTGAACAAAAAAAACAGGTGTCAGGTCAGAGTGATGCTCCAAGAAGCTCGACCAATGGTTCCAGTCGGCAGTTTCTGTTGCCAACGGAGCCCTGAACCGGGTGGTGAAAATCTGCCTACAATTATTACCATTACTACTAGTATTGTTCTTACTGTTATGCTTGATTATTATTACTTATTCGTATTATTATGGCTATCATCTCCAGCCCCATCCCAGGACCTGAGACTCAAAGATGTTTGCGAACAGCCTCTGGCAGGCCTGACAGCCCCAGCTTTTGCAAGCGCTTTTTCTTAGGCAGAAAGTTTGATGGGAGCAAGCTTGCACTATAAGATGTTGCTAAAGGATCTGCCATCATTCAGTACAACATCACCTGCCTGCTCGAAGGGAGTACCGGCTACGGTCTGGTGACTGTCATGCTTGTGATTCTCCTGCAGGAGGTCATAGTAACATTGAAGTCTGTTCATTGAATCAATGTTAGGGATCCTTTTGGGGTAGGGGATTCCATATATCTATGTCAAAAGCTTCGCTTTTTCTGCCTAGGGTAATGTAGGCTAAGCTCAAGCATCAAGATTGCCAAATGCGCAAAGCATATGAACATTGATCATTGCTGATCGGCCTTGCCCTCCTGCGTACTCTTTGTTGGCTTCTTGGTATATGGTAGTTTTTTTAGGGGACCCAGATATAGACCGCACATTGCTAAAATCCTTATGATAGGGACCCCACAGAAAGATACCCCTACTGTAGGAAACCACCCATGTACCTATGTGAGTTTTGGGGAAACTTCAAAATTGCCCTCCCTAAGCCCTACACCCTAAACTGTGTTTCAGCATGACTGTGCGGTGTGAGGCGCAGAAACTGCTTCATGGTACCCAGCGCGGCTCCTAGCTTTCTTGCTGCTCTGGTTGAGGGTTCAGGGATAGAAAAGGATAGTACCCCCACAGAAGAGAATAACATGGAAAAGAAAGTGCAGACTGACATGGAAACTGGGATGTGTGGTGACTATTCCGGGGGTTGTATAGTGATATAGAGGTGTAGTACCCCAATGCTGGCAAACCAAATGGAAAGCCAAATGGATAATCAAATGGAAGCTGGTATGATATATACATATACATATGTATATATGTCTCTATATATATATATGTATCAGTAATATATGCACGCATACTGTTTTTTGATGATGGCATGTTTGCAAATTTCCGCGCCTTCAACGTAAGGAGCCACATCGTGTTGCCGCTTGGCTTAGTTGCCACGGCATCCATACTGGTCCTCTACAAGCACTGGAAGGCACCAAGCATTCCACTTGCTCTTTGTGTGGAGGTTTCTCACAAGTATATGCCTTAACTGATCGGCGTGCCTTACTAATGGACTCTTTAAAACCTAAACCCTAAGCCATAAGCCCTAAATCCTAAACCCTAAACCCTAACCCTAAACAGTAGCCAAACCTCATTCTGCGCATTGTGACAGCGCGTGCTTGGAGATCTCCAGGATGACCAGGGGGGCGACCCCACCAAGACTTTCCTTGCCTTGCCACTGTGGCTGCAGGTAATATAGTATATCCGTATAATGCAGTACAAAACAGTATAATATGTATTGGAATAGAACAGTATATTATAGAATAATGCAATTCATAGTTATGTGGGAGTTCCCCCAAATTAGGGGTTGTATAGGGATAATGGAAAAGAAAATGGAAGCTATGCCAAAATCAGAGGTACTTGTTTTGCCGTCATACGAGCCAGGAGAAGGGATAAGTGATTATTCCTCAATTGGGTACTGGTGCGCCTGCATGGCTCTGAGGATTGTTGTGCAAATGTTGCCCCTTGTGTTCCTGGAGAAGAAGATCTTGTCTTGTCCCGATCCAGTGAGCATGCTCTCGCGCTTCGGAAGCAAGGCGCCCGATGCCCTAAACCCTAAATTTTTGGGGGCTCCAGCGCAGGTGCAAGAATCTGGGAATGTGAGCAGTTGAAGGGATTGTCGCGTGATCGGTTTCTTCATGGGATGCATTGACCTCCGTTGCTCAGGGCCAGCAGAAGAGCGCACATTGAAGGGTTTTCTGATGGAATCGTGGCGGATCACAACACTGTCGCAGCAGCATGTCTGCCGCATCGCAGTACATGGATTGTCGGACAACATCCTCAGAGCAGCATTGACGCTGCGATACGCGCATGTAGTAGACTTGTTCCTCGAGACGCAGATGTAAAAGCATGACTGATTGCAGTGTCTGTAGCCTTTTAGGCACAGCAGCTTGCTTTAGAACCCTCCTCCCTTTGTAGCCATGGCCGCACCTGCCATGCGGCCTGCATTTCTCCTTGGAACATGGAAGGGGCGAGGCAAGGTCTTGCCCAGGGGCATGGAGTACCTGGAGACCTTTACTTGCATGCAGTTGCTAGGTTGCTGTTAAGGAACTCAACTTGAGTTGCCATTATGGGGAAACCATGTTAGTCATATTCTTCACATCCCCCAGTGTCCATGTCATTTTCATTTCGTCGTCCATTAAATTGTCCCTTCCTCTCCCATCACTGAGATAATGCCTATCTATATATATATATATACAGATATGCATACACATCCAATACACATAGGTCCCATTTCATGTTTTGTTTCATTCTACATTTGGGTTTCAACTGTGGCAGCAAGCCAGGTTGAGGTCGGAACCTGCTATAGTTATCAACTGGCAGCAGTTCACCAAGCATGCGGAGTCGTTGAAGCCCATGCATGCGGAGAATGGGTTCTTGAAGATCCTACCAAAGCCTGAAGAAGGGGAAGTGAAGAAGGCTGAGCTCATGCTAAGCCACCCCTTCAGTGTCAACGAGTATTACAAGTCGGCCCAGTTCGACTTTGCGCAAAACATCTTTGAGTGCGCCGCTGAAACGGAGGACTGCTTTCAGAGAGGTCCATCAGCTATGGGTAAGCTGGCCACTGGATCGCGGCGTGTGTCTTGCAGGTGATCTAATTTCGGCTCTCAGGGCATAGGATAGGAAAATCAAATGGATGAGAAAACGGACAATGACATGGACACCAGGAATTTCTATATTACTGGAGGGAATGACAAAATGACAATGGAAGCCAGCATTTAGGGCACCCGGTCCAGTTCGTAGTTTTAAGGTGGTTAATAGGGAATGAAGGCATGGGTCATAGGGACTTCTGTGGGGATTGTATTGGACTACTAGAGGGATTCCTCCCTGTGCCAATAGACACCAACGTAACCACCAACAAGGTGTACAAGCTTACGGAGGATGGCAAGCTGATGTATGACATGTTCTTGCGCACAGAGGGCTCGGAGGACTTTGTGCACCACTTGCACTGTGAGCTTGAGAAGCAGCCAGATTTGGCATCATAAGTGAAACCTTCGGGGTCTCGTTGCTGCAGAGCGCGACAGAGACATGATGTTTGTCGGGCCTTTCGCTCGTGCAGCGAAAAGGCAAGAACCACTGCAGAAGCTTGCCGCAAAAAGGTGTCCGGGGAGATCTCGGGGCGGGAAAAGGGCCTTGTGCTGCATCACAAAGCCAAGGGCCTTCAGCCCCTGGACTGTTGGAAGCACAAGGGAAGCACAGAACTAGAGAACCGCAGTCTGACTAAACTCATGCCTGATACACAAGCCTCACTCGAAAAACCAGAGGGATGGTAGCAGGGCCTTAGCGCGGGGTCTGCGCAAGGTCTTAGCTCTTATCCTTAGTTCTTCTACGCCAAAACCTCAGGAAGCGGGTTTGCTTCAACACTTGCAAGAAACCAGCGTCACAAATGTGAAGGACCGAGCAACAACAATAACTCAACTATGATCTATATGGCACACTCATACCCTTACATGTAGTGAAGAATTCTGTCTATAGTTGAATGGTAGGAGCCTTTCTTTTCTGGAGGTGTTGCTGATGCATGGCTGCTTCCTGGCCCTGCGCATCTGCACCTGGCCCCTGCTCGAGGCCTTTTGGGCATAGGGCGTAGGGAGGGGAGAAGCCCATTTATTTAGCTGTCAAGGTGGGCTTCCTGGCAAGCACTAGCACTTCGATACTGAAATTGTACACAGACCCCCAAATACCACAATCTTTATTAAAGGGACACCCCGAAGGGTACTCCTAAATGTTGGGAAACCCCCCAAATGTACTTATAAAGCTTGGCGGCCTTCCTGTTCAGAAGACCTTGCTCTGGTGCTGTTTCAAAGGAAAAATAAAACGGAAACTACTATAGTATATTGAGGTTATATTGGAGTAATATTGGGTTATATTGGGATAACGGAAAATCAATTGGAAACTACTACTTAGAGTTTAGGGTTCAGGGAATCATGGGCTTCAAGTGGCTGTAAGATAATACGGCTCATGGACAAGATCCTGCATTACCCCAAGGATACTGACTGCTATGTTTTGTATCGGCATCTGGGATCATGCGGGTTTTTTTGTCCAGCAACGGTAAGAAGGCCCGCATCGAGTACTTCCATCATCCTTTCTCCTATAGGCCACCTTAAGTAGAGAGGATATGGCTTTGGGCATGTTCGAATGAGATTCCCATATACCCCAGATGCTATCTATTTAATTAAGGGGACTATAGCAATCTGCTCGTCAGCCTCATAACCCTAAACCGTGAGCGATGTGAATTCTGTATCCCTGGGCCGGCAGCGTTTTGTCAGAAATGAAGAAATGGTGTGGAGATTGTGGACATTTGCATCACAATCCTTGGAGTGTTCCCTTTAATGTGAGTACCACCAATTTGGCACCGCCTGTCTGCACTTTAGGCTTTTTACCCCTTAGCCCAATACACGTTTTTAACCCCATGCTCTAACCTAGAGGGTCCAAGTCCCCAAATAGCGAGGCTTTAGGTCCCAAATACTGAATGGTTTTGGTACCTAAAATTCAAATATTAGGGCACTTGGACCCTTAGTGCAAATTTTCAAAGCCGTAGAGCTTGTAGAGGTGGGAATTGGCGTGTGCAACTTGATCGGGTTTGTGGCTGTCTGCGCAGCACTGTTCTTCGGTGACTTGGTAGCAACTTGAAGCTGTTTCATGTGAGCTACTATTCATGTTAGCCTCATTAAGGGACCATTAAGGGTGGGCCTAGGGGTCCCTCTTGTAGTCTAGTATAGTCCCTAATATAGTCCAAGAATCAACTATCTTGGCTGTAGCTCGTGCGCCCTGAACCCTCAACGCTGGGATCATCTACCCTCCCCCAAAACTGGCAGGGAACCCGAAAGTGGACCTCACAAAGGCCTTCCTCAAAATGGGGTCTACATGGGTTCCATGTTCGTTGCGAGATTTTGCAGCGTATGACTTTTAGCGCGCTCTTTCTATCTCTGCGGGGTCTCTGTTCAACAGTATAAGGTTACACGTGAGACATAGTCTGAACTCCTTAAAGCGGGGTTTTATAGGGACTACAGGGGTTATTAAGGGGGATACTAGGAGTTTAGGCAGTAGCTCACATGTGGTCTCCCTGCTATAGGTGGCAGTATAGGATCCTGATCTTTGCTGAGCAATGTATGCCCTTGCCTGGGGCTGATGTGTGGTTACTTCATAGCTTTGGGTATCTTATCATTCTGTACCCAAACACCGCCAGAGACCCAAAACCAGCTACAGAGGATCCTCCGGGTAGATAAGAGTCTAAGGTTAACGCCTTAAGGGTCCCCAGAATCTCCCCGAAAGGGCTGAGTGCCCATAATAGGGGCCCATACTTCCTCTAGTCCCTAAACCCTAAACCCATATTAGGGGCCCATACTTCTAGCCTCAGGGGGGGGCTCTTGCGTTTGTATCTCGGACCGACTTGCTTCGGATTTCAAAAGTAGGGCCAAGGGTGTTTGAGATGGCTTAGATGACATGGGCACTGGGTGGGAATCCCAAGCTACATAGTCCCCGTTTAGTAGATAGAATATGGGATATATGGGGATCTTATGATAATATACCCAAAGCCATATTCTATCTACTTAAGGGGGACTATAACTTTCTGGGTTTAGTAGGGAATATATTGTGTGGGGGTTCTGTTCCCTTATTCCCTACTAACCACCAGTAAGATTACCTGATAGTATTTCCCCAGTCTCTTCGAGCCACCATTAAGCAGAACAGCACCAGTGTTTCGTATTATGCCTACCTATCCTGCGTAGTTTGGATTCTGGGGAAACGAGCGCCCACAGGAAATCCTGCGGATATTTCCAAGAATCTAGGGCTCCCTTTGGGAGCCCTGATGATTAGGCTTTTGAGATACATGATTGGAACCCCTCATCTTTGGTAGAATTGTTCGTCTTAGCAGGGTGTTGGGGCTTCTGCGGGTTGAGGTGCAAACTAGAAGTGGGACAAGCGCCCCTTACCGAGCCGATATTTTGTCTTTCAAACGGATGACGGTTCTTTTGCGAGTCTTCCGATGAAAGCAGGCATGCCCGGAGCTTGGTGGCAGGTTCTGGTCGTGCCCAATGCGCGCCGGGAGCAGTAGGTAGAGTACATAGAAATATGTAAATCGGGGGAACTGCAGCACAATCCCCGTTTCAATCTTTTTCCCTTCTCCCCGAAGATCACATAAATAAGATAAGTTTGCCTTGACAGGTGTCAGTGGGTGCGAGGGCCCGTTTTCCTGCTTGAAGTACTGTTGTAGTCCCAGTCTTAAATCGCGGTGCAACATTGGTCACCTACCCCTAATGTTAAAACACCCCACCCCTCCCTCATATTCGATGTTCCCATTGTGGTATACTTGGGGTTGGGCAGCTGTTTTGTGACCATCCAGGCTTTGGATTTCGTGCATCCATGCTGCTGCAGCAGATGGACTTGCTGGGATGCTGGGCAGCAGCCAGCAGATGATGCCTCCGGTTTGTCTACACATGTTTAGAGTCTAGCCTACACTAAGGCAGGGCCAGGGCACCCCTGTTCCCAAGGTAGCTTCTTAAAATTGCCTTCTTATATAATCCTTAAAGGAGTTCCCGAAAATCCCCTTGTAAATTATAACTTCCGTCTGTCTCTAGCGTCCCTAAGGGCTGCTCTCTTGAGAAAGCACATAGCATGGTAAACAACAACTGGGAACCCTCAAGCTTCACACCAGCAATGCGCAGACAAGCTCCCCCTGGAGGTCCCTGCTATATTCCTCCTAAGCCCTAAGCCCTGAACCTGAAGCCGTAAACCTTAAACCCCAACACCATATTTTTTGAAGGGCCCCATGTGGCCGCATGACTGGCTAGACAAGGTCTGTGGTACTTCTTGTTAGCAAGCACGGAAGGTGTTTCCAAAAATTAGGGGTCCCACCCGTATAAGGATTTATTATCAAGGGGTCTATGTTGGGGAAGCGTTCTTGGTAACACCGGACAAGCAGCAGTAACACCGGTAAGGGGGGGTACTATAAGCGCATAACAATCAGCGCCTAGCATAAATACACAGACAGGCCTGTATTGCTTGTTCTTGCGCAGACACATGTGTGTTAAGCAGGACAGATGTTTATTATGCGGGGCAGATGTGTATTGGGCGGGACAGATGGGTATTAGGCGGATGATTTGCACGCCGGAGTGCCAAATCATCCGCTTTTTGGTGGTTTCCAGCTGCAAAAACGATCATATGTTGGGGTCCCCTTGTTAATGGAGACTACCAAATCACCCTCAGAGACCCCTTTTCAGCTGGCCGAGTCCACTGCTGGTTTAGCATGCTTCTGGGGAACGGCCTGGATCTCCGACATGGCATGTGCCCTCATGGACCATCGTTGATGGTTGCATGCATGATTAACTTATGTTCGAGCATCGTATCATCTCTGAACTAGCGTCATGGCTTAAATCAAGTCTTTAGCGAAGTCAAGCAACAAGCCATATACCTGTACCCTATACATTCCATCTCAACCCTGTACCCTAAGCCCTTAACCTGAACCCCTGAACCCTGTTCCCTGTACCCTAACCCTTAAACCCTAACCCCTAAACCTGAAGCCCTAAACCCTTACCTTCAGTGAGATTCCAAGGACTGGTGGTCCTAGGAGTGGGTGGAGCATTCCTCACGGAGGTCAGCGCGCCATTTTTTTGCTTCACATGTCATGTATGGTATGGTATGGTTTAGGGTTTAGGGTTTAGGGTTTAGGACTTAGGGTTCAGGATTTAGGGTTCAGGATTGAGGGTTTAGGCTTTAGGGTGTAGGGTGTAGGCTTTAGGGCATGGCTCTACATAAGCTTTAGGGTTTTAGGGGTTGCCACAATGGAGAGTCAACTGGAAAAGAACATGAAATTGAGACTGGGGGTTATGCAGGTGTTTACAGGGGCAATAACCAATACCATGTCCCTAAACTCCTTGTATACGAATTATGGCAAAGGGTACCTGAAATAGAGGTCAGAATGATAGTGCCGTTAGAATCTGAGGCGATCTTCGCAAGTAAATGCACAGGACCGCCAAGCGCATTTAAA